CCCTCTACTAAGCACGGTGTTCTTCTCCAGAGACTGGTCCTTCTTGATAACAAGTCCAAAGTACCTGAGACAAAGTCTCACCATCCTAGATCCTAAGGAGCATTCGCGTTGTACTTCCTCCAAGACAAATTTGTTCCTTCTTCTGGCAGTCCATGGTATAGTCAATATTCTTCACCAACACCGTAATTGAAAGGCATCAATTCTTCCTCGATCTTCCTTATTCATTGCCCAGCTTTTGCATGCATAGCAGGTGATTAAAAACACCTTGGGTCAGGCACACCTTAATCATCAAATTGACGTATTTGGTTTTTAATGCTTCAAAGAGGTGTTTTACAGCAGATTTGTCCAATGCAATACGTCATTTGATTTCTTGACTGCTGTTTTTGTGGATATTGATCATGGATCCAAGTAAAATGAAATCCTTGACAACTTCAGTCTTTTTTTTGTTTATCATGATATTGCTTATTGGCCCACTTGTGAGGATTTTTGTTTTCTTTATGTTGAATCGTAATCCATACTGAAGACTGTAGTCTTTGATCTTCATCAATAAATGCTTCAAGTCCGCTTCACCTTCAACAAGCAAGGTTGTGTCATCTGCATAACGCAGGTTGTTAATGAGCCTTCCTCCAATCCTGATGTTGCATTCTTCTTCATATTATCCAGCTCTCACATTATTTGCTCAGCATACATATTGAATAAGTATGGTGAAAGAATACAACCCTGACACACAACTTTCTTAACTTTCAGCCATGCAGTATCTACTTGTTCTGTTCGAACAACTACTTCTTTGTCTATGTACAGATTCTGCATGAGCACAATTAAATATTCTGGAATTCCCATTTTTCCAAATGTTCATAATTTGTTATGATCCACACAGTCTAATGCCTTTGCATAGTCAATAAAACACAGGTAAACATCTTTCTTGTATTCTCTGCTTTCAGACAAGATTCATCTGACGTCAGCAATGATATCCCTGGTTCCATGTCCTCTTCTGAATCTGACTTGAATTTCTGGTAGTTTCCTGTTGATGTACTGCTACAACTGATTTTTAATTATCTTTAGCATAATTTTACTTGTGTGTGATATTAATGATACTTTTTGATAAATTCAAATCCCATTGGATCATCTTTCTTTGGAATGGGCACAGATATGGATCTTTTCCAGTCATTTGGCCAGACAGCTGTCTTCTAAATTTCTTCACATAGATGAGTGAGCCCTTCCAGTGTTGCATCCATTTGCTGAAACATCTCAATTGGTATTCCGTCAATTCCTGGAGCATTGTTTTTTGAGAACACCTTCAGTGAAGCTTGAGCTTCTTGCTTCAATACCATGGGTTCTTGAGCCTCCTAAAATGGTTGAATGTCGACAAATACTTTTTGCTACAGTGACTCTGTGTATTCCTTCCACCTTCTTTTGATGCTTACTGTATCATTCAACAGTTCTTTCAGCTTGAGAATTGTCAAGCATGTTCTTCCCTTTTGGTTTTCTAACTCAAAGTCTGTGCACATTTCACTACAATTCTTCACATCTTCTTGAAGTGCTCTTTGAAATCTTCTACTCAGCTCTTTTACTTAATCATTTCTTCTGTTTGCTTTAGCTATTCTATGTTAAAGAGCAAGTTTCATGGTCTCTTCTGACATCCATGGTCTTTTCTTTCTCTTTAATGACCTTTTGCTGTCCTCATGTATGATGTCCATGATGTCATCCCACAACTCATCTAGTCTTTGGTCACCAGCGTTCAATGCATCAAATCTATTCTTGAAATTATCTCTAAATACAGGTGGGATATACTCAAGGTCATACTTTAGCTCTCGTGGACTTGTTTTAATTATCTTCAGCTTCAACTTGAACTTGCTTATGAGCAATTGACAGTCTTTACCTCAGTTGGCCCCTGACCCTGTTCTGACTGATGATATTGAGCTTCCCCATCATCTCTTTCCACAGATGTAGTCGATTTGATGCCTATGTATTCCATCTGGTGAGGTCATGTGCATCATCACCATTTATGTTGTTGAAAAAAGGTATTTCCAGTGAATAAGTTGTTGGTCTTGCAAAATTTATCATGTGATCTCTCACATTGTTTCTATAACCAAGGCCATATTTTCCACCTACTGATCCTTATTTGGAGCCCGGGCATCACAGTGGTTAAATGCTCAGCTGCTAACTATAAGGTTGTCAGTTCAAACCCATCAGCCATTCTGCAAGAGAAAGATGTGGCAGTCTGTTCCAGTAAAGATTTACAGCCTAGAAAACCCTATGGGGCAGTTCTACTCTGTCCTATACAGTCACTGCCAGTCAGAACCGATTTGGCAGTCACAGGTTTGGTTTCTTTGTTTCAAACTTTCCCATTCCAGTGACCACCAAACCAAACCAAACCCATTGCTGTTGAGTTGATTCCAACTCATAGCGACCCTATAGGTTCCAATGACCAGTAATTATCACTGCATCTTGATTGCATGTTTGATCAATTTCAGACTGCAGAAATTGGTAAAAATCTTCAATTTCTTCATCTTTGGCATTAGTGGTTGGTGCATAAATTTGAATAATAGTCGTATTAACTGGTCTTCCTTGTAGGCGTATGGATATCATCCTATCACTGACAGCATTGCACTTCAGGATAGATATTGAAATGTTCTTTTGGACAATGAATGCCACACCATTCTTCTTCAATTTCTCATTCCCGGTGTAGAACACCATATGATTTTCCAATTCAAGATGGCCACTATCTGTCCATTTCAGCTCACTAATGCCTATGATATCAATCTTCAAGTGTTCCATTTCATTTGTGACAACTTCCAATTTTCCTTGATTCATTCTTTGTAGATTCTACATTCCAATTATTAATGGATGTTTGCAGAATTTTTTTCTCATTTTGAGTTGAGCCACATCAGCAAATGAAGACCCTGAAAGCTTTACTCATCCATGTCATTCGGATCTACTCTACTTTGAGCAGGCAGCTCTTCCCCAGTCATATTTTGAGAGTACCTTCCAACCTGAGGGGCTCATCTTCCTGCACTATATCAGACGATGTTCCTCTGTTACCCATAAGGTTTTCACTGGCCAATTTTTTCAGAAGTAGGTCACCAGGTCCTTTTTCCCAGTCTGTCTTACTCTGGAAGCTCTGCCAAAACCTGTCCACCATGGATGACCCTGCTGGTATTTGAAACACTGGTGATATAGCTTCCAGCATCACAGTAACATGCAAGCCACCACAGTACTACAGACAGACAAGTGGTGGACTCTAGCAATATTATTCTGGCAATAATGAGACAATATATAAAAACCAGATACTGTGGTTATTATTTAATAAAAAGTGTGTAGCTGTTACTGCTACTGCCAGTGGTGCTACTGCTGTGACTATTATCATTTTCATGTTTAAAGAGGGAAATAAAAGAGGCAGAAAGGGATATAAAGAAACACACCCATGAAAAACTCCTTCGCCACTATACTTATTTCCTAGGTCAGCCTTTATGTAGTTAAAGCACCAAAGGCATCAGTTGTGGAGAGCATTTCTATTTGTCTCTAAACTGTAGAATTTGAATTATATTTTTTTCACAATAGTCTAAATTTCAAACACACCCTACATGGGTGAAAATACGCAAGACCTAAAAGTTTTCAAAGAGAACTTGAAAGTTCTTAAAATCAAATTATTCTTCCTCTGAGGGTATTGGTCACCACTGTTTCTAGAACTCCCCATACCATGGAAAAAGCAGCTCTATTTCTATCTAGTCTCTGAACGACAGCAGAAATAGTTCCAGGGTTGCAGTCTCTGCTCCCACATTCAAAACTGTGATAGTCTTACTCAAATATTAACAAGGCCCTTTAGGAGTGGTAGGTGTCACTCTCCCCACAAAGTCCAGAAGATTTAAATGATATTTTTTACTTATTTTATTTGGCCTGTTTCTCATGGATTTTACATATATACATATATATAAAGTAAATTTTTTGAAACTAAGATTTATTCAGTAAGGTCTCTTGTACATGAAAGCAGTATTTAAATGGGAAATATATTTAAATGGAAATACTATTTTCTTGTACATGAGGGCTTACTGAATTACTCTTAGTTAAGCTAGGGTCTACCCTAATAAACTTCTAAAATAGTTACTGGTATGAGTTTTAAATAACATTCTTCACCCAAGTTGCAAAAAATTGGTTAGATGTTAACAATCAAATGGTAAAGGTTTTAATAAAAGTAATTCTGATCATGTAAAGAAATACAGGCACCTCAGTTTTTACATGTGTCTTTTTTTTTTTCTACTTCCTATACCTCTTCAAATAAAACCGATAGTAATTCCTGAACACCTACTGTGAGTATCTTCCTTGTCTGCTTAACTCATCTTATCTATCTCCCATGATTTAGATGGTGCTCAACATTCTACAGGATATTTACCTGGAAGACCCTAGACCAACAAATCAACTGCTTTGTCCTTTGATATCTTTATCTATAAGCAGTGCATAACACTCTCTCTCAACCGGATGTTGTAATTATCATACAAGAGAACATGTAAAAGGCTCTGACACTGTGTTTTACTTAATGGATTTACATATGTTTCTTATTCCTGGACATTCAATATTCTTGAACACTGAATTGCATAGTTCTTTATAGTTTACAAAAAAAAATATGATTCAATTTAATTTCATAACAATACTTGCTGTCAAGTGATATTATTTCTATTTTTAAAATAAGGAAATTGTGACTAAGGCAAGGTAAGAAAATTTCAAGTGTCACACAGCTCTCACATGGAAGAGCCAAGATTCCCCCTCCAATCTTCTGATCCGAAGTTACACAACACAGCTGACCCCTGTCCATTTGTATGCATTGATATTCTTAATCCTAAAATTTGATGCTTTTCCTACTTCACAGTTTATTTTATTTATAATGTTTAAACCCGGATATTCTCTTACTATTTAATGAGTATAGATCTTTTATCCCCTACTAAGCTAATGGAATCTACTCCTAACTCTTGAACTGGGACGTTGAATTAAATTAATTTAATATTTAATAATTTAATAAGCTTTAATTTAAGAGACATAAAACTCATGGTCTATTTCTTTCAAATTGGTTATTAAAAATGTAATCAATAGTATTTCTTGCCTTTAGCTGTTCCATACTAAAGCAGAAATGTGGGGCTATAGGACAGTACATTAAGAAGTTCTTGTAGATGCCACTCTTTCTATACCAGGCAAAGGGCAATTTGGTGCAGGAGAGGGAAAATGTGCTCTGTGACTCTGGGACCCTCTCTCTGCCCAATTCAAATCAGAAAGAAAATATGAAATATATATATATATATAACCAGAAAAAACCAAACCCCATTGCCGTCGAGTCGATTCCAACTCATATAAACCTTTAATTCTGACAGTCGTAATTGAGCATTTACAAAATAGTTTCTCCTCTAACAAACTGACTGACCTTAACCCTCTGCAGTCACCTTGGTTTGAACAAATGTCTGGATGATCTTCCTTTGTATCTCCTTGGTCTTCACAGTATAGACTATGGGGTTCAGCACAGGGGGTACAAGAAGGTAGGCATTAGCCATGAGAGCATGAGTCAGCGGGGAAAGGTGCTTTCCACTGCGGTGAATGACGGACACTCCAATGAGTGGCACATAGAAGATCAGTACAGCAGAGATGTGTGAAACACAAGTGTTGAGTGTCTTCAGCTTCCCCTCCCCCGAGGCAATAGCCATTACTGTTCGGAGTATGAACACATAGGAGATGAGGATGGAGAGGGAGTCAGAACCGTTAGTGAAGATTACAGCAATGAGGCCATAGCGACTGTTGACGCGGGTGCTGGCGCAGGCAAGGCACATGACATCATGGTGGAGGCAGAAGGAGTGGGACACGATGTTGGAACGGTAGAAGGGGAGTCTCTTGATGAGAAAAGGCACAGGAAAGACCACACAGACAGCTCTGGTCAAGATGACAACCCCAGTTCAGATGACGCCACTGGTTAGGATGGTGCTGCACCTAAGAGGGCTCCAGACTGCCACAACCCAATCAAAGGCCATGGCCACCAGCACACCCGACTCAATGGCTGAGAAGGTGTGGATGAAGTACATCTGAACTAGACAGGCACCAAAGGCAATGGACTTGTAGTTAAACCAGAAAATACCTAGCATTGAGGGCAAAGTACAGAGGGCAAGTCCCATGTCTGCCAATGCTAGCATACACAGAAAGTAGTACATAGGAATATGCAGGGAGGACTCAGACTTGATAGTAGAGATGATGATGCCATTGCCAAAGAGGGCAATGACATATATAGCCCCCAGTGGGAATGCCATCTGGTAATACTTTTGCTCAAGTCCTGGAATTCCAGTAAAGATAAAGTAAAGGTGTTGGAAGTGGGAGTAATTATAATTTGCCATGAAGCCAATGTGACATAGGCATGGGGAAGGAGTTTGTGGGATCCTGATGGGTCGCTTCCTAAAAATACAGTGACAGAGATTAACAATATGTTAGAATGTGACTTCCCTGGGTGTGGAGCCATTTAATTTTCACATGGGGGCATAGAGTGTAAGAGAAATCAGAATCCCTAAAAATGCTATTCCAAGATGTATCTTGTTAAGAAAGCATCCACTGCCCACGGGAAAATGACTTACCTACGTACAAATAAGTCATACTCAGCTTAAAACACACAATATGGAGCCAATTCATTAGTAAAATTTCTTCTGTTTCTTCTGTCTTTTCTTCCCTCTTTCTAATCAATATCTTAAAAACTGCTGATTCAGAGGCTGATGGCACAACTAAGACAGACTCAATATTAAACATGAATTATTTAATTCCCCCACAAGGAAGCCATTCCTACCCATCACTCTCCAGGACTCTCATGAAGGCAACAGATCTTGGATCTAGGGCAGAGTTGGAAATACCCTGTGCCGCCTATGCTTCTACTCTATCATAACCCTCCTTCATTTCTCCTGAGCCTGTATGTGGCCTTAGAAGTATTCTCAATCCAGGAGTCTCAGACAGCCACTTCTAATCATAGAAAATGTATTTGTCATCTCTTACCCAGTGGAATCTTATTTGGAGAAACAGGGAGGATAACTTTCACTTTGGAATATGACAGAGATTCCTTTTTTAGAGTAACCCATCTTGCCTAAAAGGAAGGGAGACATGCAGAGCTCACCTGAATCCTTTTTTTTTTTAGAATCAGAATCATCTGGTAATTTTCTACTGCTAAGGCTTGGTGATCATTTGTAATGCCATGTTACACTCTGATTGGAAGAGTCAGTCTAGATGCCTCAGTGGAGATCTGGAAGACTTGCTCATATTACCAGAGATGCAAAAAAAAAAAACCAAACCTGCTGCCGTTAAGTTGAGTCCAACTCATAGCAATCTTATAGGACAGAGTAGAACTGCCCTATAGGGTTTCCAAAGCTGTAACCTTTACAGAAACAGACTGTCACATCTTTCTCCCATGGAACGGCTGGTGGGTTCGAACATACGATTTTTGTGTTAGCAGTGGAGCTCTTAACAACTGCTCCATGAGGGCTCCTCATCAGCACCAGTAACTATATTTAATATTGTTGGAATCATTTGACTTTAGACATAATTGGCAGTCAAAGGTAACATATAAACTTTTTTGAAAAATCTCAAGCATAGAACACTCATCAATTGCTTTCATAAATTGATTGGAATAAAGCTGAGTAAGAGGCTAGGTAGTGTTATGAGCATGGATTTTAGATCCACCCTGTGTTCAGATTCCACATCTGTCATTGACCAGCATTCTGACTAAATTACTTCTCTGCTCTCCAAGTATAGATAGCCCTTTCATATGTAATATGGTGGCAACAATAGTACCTACTTCATACGATTAGTGTGAGGATTAAAAATGTAAAGGGCTTAGAAAGCAAAATATGTGCTTTTTATATAGTTAATTATTTGGAATAAAAAGTCCTTATATGTTTTCAGTATTAATAATACTGGATTTTTTGTTTGTTTGTTTGCCAGAGTTCTTTGCAATAGGTAAAAGTGAAAACTGATAGATTATCTTTCATTAGCAAAGAATTACATTTTATTCTATACCCCTTATAATCTTTTCATAATTTATGCTCTTCTCTGGAATTTTTAACCTACCCCTCTCTTCCAGCCTATGTATACATCTCCAGCTGACCCACTCTCATGATGAATCAAAAAACATAACTGTTTTTGGAATCACCTTGAAGACCTTCTTTGAAAAAACTTCTAGTTCAGATTTCCCCAGCCTTAGCAGGGTATTTCCTCTACTTCTATAAAATATCCATCTCCTTAATCTGCTTTTATCAAAGAGAGCCTGACTCTCGCTTCAAATACCCATCTTATCAGGTTATCAACATATATTTTCTGTCTTTCCAATAAACTGTTGTTTTAGTGATTTTTGAGATAGAAAAAGTTTATTAAGTTTTCAAATAATTACAATAGAGTGAGGATGAGGGAAAATAACAGAAGTAAAAGCTGATGTAATTAATATTTCACTGATGAAAAAACTGAAGCCTAGAAAAATAAAATAGCTTGCCCTGAGTCGAATACCTAGTTAGCAGCAAAACAGAGGAGAAGAAGGAGGAAAAATAAATAAACACTGCACGGTCTTGCTGAGAAAATCACAGCTAAGCTCAATGGGATCTTGGTGGCTCAATAAGGGAAGACAAAGTCCAAATATCATCTCTTGGTCAAGATACATATTCATTGATAGGGGTACTCAGATTTTGTTCTTTATCTATATTACCCAGGATATAGAAAACAGGTGGTGTTCAAGTCTATCCCCTAAAAATTAGGCTCTTAGACCTCAAGTTTTTCCTTTGAAAGCTCTATCTGGTTCTGACCCTCTGCTGTCCATCTCCCCTCATCAAGCCAGTTTCTCCTGTTTTGGAAATCTAATGACACATGTGCCCATCTTTTCCTATGAACCAACTCAATGCACGTGTACAGAAATGTCTACAACTTTCTAAACAGTTTTCACCTCTGTAATTGTATGTATTACTCACAAAATCCTTGGAGGCCAGGAAAACAGACTGAATGTGTGCCTGGAATATGCTGCGTTCTACATCTTCCTCCTGGGCTCTCACAACTTGCATGGTTCCATTATAGATACTAGCCTAAAGGAGCATGTTGAAAATAAAAAATTTTCTATAATAGGAGTATCAGCAAAACAAACAAACAAAAAACATTTCCATTTACCGTAAGTAGTAGGAAAATTTCCAGGTATACTAAGGGATTTGTGAATAATGGACTGAGATTGAGACTGGCCTTAAAAGGACACATTTACTCTTCCTTCTACTTGAATGTATGACGGGCAGTGAAGACAGAAAAAATAGGAAGAAAAACCCTTTTGATCTAAAGATTAACTATAACCACTCATCACCTGATGACAGAGCCCCAAAATCTGTTTTCAGGGGAAAAATTCCCAAACTCTAATCATTGTAAGATACCAGATGAAAGAAAATTTGAAGAAGAATGGCATTGCATTCATTGTCAAAAAGAAAATTTCAAGGTCTATCCTGAAGTACAACGCTGTCAGTGATAGGATAATATCCATAGGCTGACAAGGAAGACCAGTTAATAAGACTACTATTCAAATTTACACACCAACCACTAAGGCTAAAAAAGAAGAAATTGAAGACTTCACCACCTTCTGCAGTCTGAAATTGATCAGATATGCAACCAAGATGCATTGATAATTACTGGTGATTGGAATGCGAAAGTTGGAGACAAACAAGAAGGATCAGTAGTTGGAAAACACTGCTTTGGCGATAGAAATGATGCCAGAGATCATATAATAGAATTTTGCAAGACCAAAGACTTCTTCATGGCAAATATCTTTTTCACCAACATAAATGGCAACTATACAAGTGGACCCTGCAAGATGGAATACACAAGAATCAAATAGTCTACATCTGCGGAAAGAGACAATGGAGAAACTCAATATCATCAGTCAGAACAAGGCCAGGGGCCGACTGAGGAATAGACCATCAATTGCTCATGTACAAGTTCAAGTTGAAGTCCAAGAAAATTAGAAAAAGTCCACAAGAGACAAAGTATGACCTTAAGTATATCCCACCTGAATTTAGAGACCATCTCAAGAATAGATTTCACACGTTGAACACTAATGACTGCAGACCAGATGAGTTATGGAATGACATCATGGACATCATGCATGAAGAAAGCAAAAAGTCATTAAAAAGACAGGAAAGAAAGAAAAGACCAAAATGGATGTCAGAAGAGACTCTGAAACTTGCTCTTGAACATCAAGTAGCTAAAGTAAATGGAAGAAATGATTAAGTAAAAGAGTTGAACAGAAGATTTCAAAGGGCAGCTCCAGAAGACAAAGTAAAGTATTATAATGACATGTGCAAAGTCCTGGAGATAGAAAACCAAAAGCGAGGAACACACTAGGCATTTCTCAAGCTAAAAGAATGGAAGAAAAAAATCAAGCTTCCAGTTGCAATATTGAAGAATTCTATGGGCAAAATATTAAATGATACAGGAAGTATCACAAGAAGATGAAAGGAATACACAGTCACTGAAAGGAATACACAGAGTCACTGTACTAAAAAAAATTGGTCAACATTCAACCATTTCAGGAGGTAGCATATGATCAAGAACCAGTTGTACTAAAGCAAGAGGTCGAAGCTTCACTGAAGGCGTTGGTGAAAAACAAGGCTCCAGGAATTGAGGAAATACAAATTGAGATGTTTCAACAAACAGATGCAGCATTGGAAGTGCTCACTCATCTGTCAAGAAATTTGAAAGACAGCTACATGGTCAACTGACTGGAAAAGATCCATACTTATGCCTATTGCAAAGAAAGGTGACCCAACTGAATGCAAAAACTATCCAACACCCCATAGACACATCCAAACTCCCTGAGGGACTGAATTGCTGGGCGGAGGGCTCTGGGGACCATGGTCTCGGGGAACATCTAGCTCAATTGGCATCACACAGCTTATAAAGACAATGCTCTACATTCTACCTTGGTGAGTAGTGTCTGGGGTCTTAAAAGCCTGTGAGCGGCCATCGAAGATACTCCACTGG